GTGACAGTCTTCTCTTGCTGCCTGCAGATCAAGATATAGAACTCCCAGCTCCTCCTTCAGCATCATGTCTGCCCGCATGCCACCATGTCCCACCAGAGACTAAACCTCTGAACTGTAAGCCGGCCCCGCTTCAGTGTTTCCCTTCATAAGAGTTGCTGTGGTCATGGTGTCTCTTCGCAACAATAGAAACCCTAGCTAAGACACCTTCCATCAATAAATAAAATGTAAGTAAAAAAAAACAAACAAAAAAAACAGGACCTTTTCAGGGAACCCATGGGCTCAAAACTACTTTGGGCACAGCGCTCACCCTCCATTCCTGCTTGTCCAATCTCATGAGTATATGGTATTTTTCAAAGCAACTTCTCGGGCGATACTGCCAGAGGCTGAATGCAGAAGCAGCTGTGCGAGTCCAGCTGTCCTCTGTCAAGCCAGGGGAATAGTAAAAGGGAATTGAAAAGTGGAAAACAATGCCGTTCTTGTCATTCTCTTCTTTTTTCAGTGCTGGGAACCTAGCCAAGAGCCCTCTGCATGCTAGGTGGGCACTCTAACCCCCGGACCCTTCTTTAAACCCTCACTAACTTTTGGGCTTTAGAAAATACTATTTCTCACTAAAATATTATTTTTTATAAAAATATGTTTTCCTGGAGTATGTGAAATCATACTTTACTTTAATTATTTTAAATTTTAATTATTACTTTAATTCATTGATACATATTTTGAAGATTTTATTTTTATGTATTTACTTTTGGTTTTGTTTTCGAGACAGGGTTTCTCTGTGTAGCTTTGTAGCCTCTCCTGGATCTCCCTCTGTAGACCAGGCTGGCCTTGAACTCACAGAGATCCACCTGGTTCTACTTCCCAAGTGCTGGGATGAAAGGCATGTGCCACCACCACCTGGCAGGGGTTTATTTTTAAAGACAGGGTCTCATATAGCCCAGGATAGCTTCAAACTCACTATGTTGCAGAGAATAACCTTGAACTTCTGATCCTCCTGCCTCTACCTCCTAAGAACTAGGAGAACTACAAGCCTGAGTCGTGAGCCACTATAGTTGATCTGTGCAGCGTGGGGGCCAGGGCTTCATGCATGCTAAACAAGTGCCTACCAACTGAGCGACATCCCTAGCCCAAGATGATTTCATGTGTGTGATGAACATGCTCTGATGATAGATATAATCCAAGTGAACAAAAGCCCTTTAGAATTCTTCATCCGGAAGTGAGGAAAGTGATCCGGAGACTGTGCTGAACAGGGCCTGTCTTGATGACCACAGAACCCACAGAAAGGGAGCCATGCCACCTGCTTTCTCCATGACGGGCCTGCAGGGTGCATGCAAAATTTCACTATTACATCACACCTGTGAATCAGGGTACTCACTCCATGTGAGTGGAACCTCAGGAATGTGAACAAATGAAGTTGAGAGGGTATGTGTGTGTGTGTGTGTGTGTGTGTGTGTGTGTGTGTGTGTGTGTGTCACTGTTTCCAGGGAGGGCAACTTCTCTGTATAGAGTACAGAATTTAAAAGCTTTTAAGCAATTTGTGATAGTTGAAGAATGGCCCCTGTAAGCTCATATATTTGAATGCTTAGTTACCAGGGAGTGGAACTCTTTGATAGGATTAGAAGGATCAGGTGTGGCCTTAGTGGGGGAAGTGTGTCACTGGGGATGGGTTTTGAGGTTTCAAAAGCCCATGCTAAATCCAGTCTCTCACTCTGCTTGTAGATCAGGGTGTAGCTCTCAGATACTTCTCCAGCACCACATCTGCCTGCCAATCATGCTCCCTACCATGATGATAACAAGCCTCTGGAACTATAAGCAAGTCCCCAATTAAATGCTTTCTTTTATAAGCATGGCCTTGTGTTTCTTCAGAGCAATAGAACAGTGGGTAAGACACAACTTCACAGAGAAGGTTTTTTGTTGTTGTTGGTTTTTTTTTTTTTTTTTGTTTTTCGAGACAGGGTTTCTCTTTGTAGCTTTGCGCCTTCCCTGGAACTCACTCTGTAGTCCAGGCTGGCCTCGAACTCACAGAGATCTGCCTGCCTCTGCTAACCCTGGAGTTAAAAGCCAAGTATGGCTGTGCACACTTCCCCGCTCCCCCCCCCCCCCCCAGACAGGGTTTCTCTGTGTAGTTTTAGTGACTGTCCTAGAAATCACTCTGTAGGCTGGCCTCGAACTCACAGAGCCTGGCTCTGCCTCCCGAGTACTGGGATTAAAGGTGCACCACTGTCTTCCGGATCAATGTGAGTTCAAGATTAGCCTGGTCCACACATCGAGTTCCAGACCTGCCAGAGCTATAGGTAGTGAGACCCTTTTTCAAAATAATTAAAGAAAAGCTGCAAACATTTGAGTGTGTGCATCTGTTAGAGACAGGGTCCCTCTGTGTAGCTCAGGTAAGACATGCCTTGGACATGTGACTCTCCTGCCTCTCCCTCCTGAGCGCTGGGATTCCAGATGTGTGTCTCCATGTCTGATGTCCTTTTTGATTTTAAAGACAGTCTTGCTATAGTCCTGGCTGACCTACAACTTGATACATAGCCCAAAGGCAATGGTGGGTTAACTCTGCTTCCTCCTGCCGAGATCACAGCACTGTGCCACCACACCCATCTGCTAACTTTTTAAATACACCTGAAGACAATTGGGCTGATGCCGGAGGTGAAGTGCCTGGTGTGTTCAGAGGTGAACAGGTGCACCTAGCTCCCTCCCTCCCTCCACCTCACACCTGTGCTCCACATTCCGCAGTCCTGGGAGTTCTCTATTAAATGTTGTGTCTTCTGTGAATTGCTTATGCAGGTCTTTTGTCCATTTTTCTTTTGTACTGATTTCTCTGGGACTCCCCATGTTCCAGAACACAAACCTTTCACTTGTTACGTACTGAAAATATTCTGCTCAAGCATGTGTTTCCTTTTAGTTTTGTGTAGGCACCTCATTGTAGCACAGGGACTTAGTCGTTTGCAAATATATTCTATTGTATCAATCATTTCCTGGTGTTTGGGGAGATGCTTTGACATAACATGCCTTTCCACACAGCATGATTTTGAAAATGTTCTGCTGCCAGTGAGATGGCTCAGTGGATAAAGGGGCAGCCAATCCTTGATGACCTGAGTGCTGTACCCGGGACCCACACGGTAGAGGGGAGGAACTGGCTTCTGAAAGCTGTCCTCAGACCCCACACATGCACCATGGCACATATCCTACCCCCCATCATACACGTATGTACACATACAAACATGCATATACACATACCACACACATACACTGCACATATACATACAAAACACACACCACATACATACACACATACACATATACCACACACACGCACATACACTGCATACACCACATACACACACTGCAAAAACCACATACACACATACACACTGCACACACCACATACACATACACACACACCAAACACTACACGCATACCACACACACACCACACACATATATACATATACCACACATGCACACACACCCCTCCCACATGCACACATACCATGTATATACACACATACATACATGCACACAACACACATACACACACCACACACAACACACATACACACCAAACACTATGCACACACCACATCCACACTTGTTCACACCACACATACACAACACACATACATACACATCACACATACATGCACACACAAAGTAAATATAATTTAAAAATTAATATAAAAACCTTTTAAAATGTTTTCCGCTTTTTGCTGATATACCAGCCATCTTCTCCTTTTACCCCCTTCCTTTTTTCCTTCCTTTGAGACAAATCTCACGTGAGTACCTGCTCCAACCTCCCAAGTGCTGGGATCATAGACGCACACTTCCTGCCCGGCTCCCTTTCTCTTCCCTTCCCCTTGCCTCTTCCCATTTAAACATTCATATCTTGATTCCATCTAGGACTTTTGCTGTTGACTTGTGTAAGTCATGAAGTAAACATGACATGGCGCAGGCAGCCCACCCAGCCCGGGGTGCACAGGCCCACACGGCTGATCTCGCCCGGTGGCAGGGAGTTGAGGGTTTGGAAAGAGAGGCAAGCGGTGTTTCAGGTGTTTCAGAGGTCCGTGCGCAAAGCTGCCAACTTCACCAAGGAAACAACAGCCATCGCTACCGTGTGGCTCACAAACGACCGTCACTGACATACCCTGCCGTGGGGCTCATACCCTGCCGTGCGGCTTATACCCTGCCATGGGGCTCCTGGACAACACGCGTATCTGTGGCCACTTGAGGCCATGTGACCAGTGCAGGGAGAGGAGCTCACCCCTGCGTTATCAACACGGAGAAACACAAGACACACGTGAGGAAGGCCTCGGCCCGCAGGTGCCTGAGTCACTCCTTGGCCCTTCCTCAGGACCACTGTAGCTGTGGTGGGGAGGAGCACATGTCCTACACAGTCCCCAAAGCTGCGCCCCCTCTGTGGGAGGAAAGCCTGGAAACTGTCCCCGCGACCAGCTGACCGCCTCTCTAGAACCCGTGTTTCCTTCTCTGAGTACCTCCTCCCTGGAGCCCGGATGACTCAGGCTGGGACGGGGAGCTCAGGCATAAACAAGCAAAACTGACAGCAAGCCCTTTGCCTGAGGCTCGTGACCTCCCACGGGCCTCCTGGGACTGTGCCTGAATGGCTGTGCCGTCAAAATTGCAGCAGTAAGCTTTGTGGGCTTAACCTGCGGCAGTCACGTAAGCAGCCCCGTGGTGAAAGCCTCCAGGCGGGAAGTGGGCACCAGGGCCCAGCAGATGGTGGCAAGCCTCCCAGCAGAGGGCAGTTTCCTAAGTGCATTGGTTTTTTTTTTTGCAGATCCCAAAGTACCCACAACTGTCTCTGCTTCCCTCCTGCTCTATACCAAAAAGACATTGCAATGGCAGAAGCCAAGCTGGCCCTAGAGACAGGTGTGTTCCAGTCTTCCAGGCAGGGATCCATCTAGATGCACAGAAAACAGAATCTCAGGCCTCCCAGGTCCAGTCCCGTCCTCCTTCAGAGTCTCAGGGAAACCAGGGCCACCTACCTGCTCCAGGGGGATGACCAGGAAGGAGCCACCTCCCGCACTCTCGGTGACTATGGCCAGGAAGCGGGCATTGACCGCGCAGAAGTGGTTGTCATGGACATTCTTGGTGATGGGGATCCCATCAAAGCAGTGCTCCCGGTTGGCCACCTTCCCGTACACGTTCCGGAACTTGGAACTGCGGTACTGCGGTCGCCAGGACATCTGCAAGGGACCGACAGAGGCGAGTTTAGGCTGACTGTTCATGAAGGAGCTGGGCAGGGCACTGGAGAGTCAGAGATGCAGGGAGCAAGCGATCTCTCCTTCATGGAGGGATGAGAGCGATGGGGCCACCAAGAACATGGGGCCTCTCGTGGACTGGCTGCTTGCTGAGAGGGTCTCTCTGACAGAGCCCAGCAGGAGGATGCTCCCAGCTTTCCTGTTTATTGTCCACATGCCCAACAATATTATAGAAAGAAGGTAGGGTCCTCTCACTACCAGTGATAATGACATGTGATACAGCAAGCCAGCCACACGTGATGGTGTCCCGACTGTCCAAACTGATTTTGCTCAGCCCTGGAGGTCAGTAGGCTGGGTCACAAAGACCGAGGACAATGACAGTGGTAGGGGTGGGGTCACCACCTTGTGCTCAAGGAAGCAAGCCACCACATTTCATCATCTCCTCTTTTGATTCTCCTAGAATTCCTCCCCTATGAGCATTCCCTTAAAAACCTCTCAGTTCTCCATTTTATCATCACCACCATCACCACCACCATTACCATCAGGCACAGAAAAGTTAAGTGACTGGACAAGGTCACCCAGCTGAGTGTGCTATAGGGGAAGACACTGCGTGTGGAACCTTTTGAGTCTGGAATGAAGTCCTCAATGTGTGACCTGAAGATCACCTACATCATAATCACTGAAGGTGGGGGAGGTCTCTGAGTTCCTGCGTCATTTCTTGAAGATGCAGTTCCTGGGTCCCAGGCTGAGTCTAACAATCCAGTGCAGTATTTTAAGAGGGGGGTCCGGCCGGGCAGTGGTGGTGCCTGCCTTTAATCCCAGCACTCGGGAGGGGGAGGCAGAGCCAGGCAGATCTCTATGAGTTCGAGGCCAGCCTGGTCTACAGAGCGAGATCCAGGACAGGCACCAAAACTACACAGAGAAACCCTGTCTTGAAAAAAAAAAAAAAAAAAAAAAGAGTGGGGTCCAACACTCAGTATAGTGCCCACCCCTAGATGACACAGAAGTACCCTGAAGTTTGAGAGTCTTGTTCCAGTAGGCTCTCCTCAGCCCACCCTGCCCACTATCTAGGGTCTGACTAGTCAGCAGGCCCTACTTTTGATGCCTGTGGAAGGTGAGTGGAGGATCCATGGTGGCCTTCTATGGGATGGTACCTCTTGCATGGAAGCCTGCCAGCGTAGAAGTGAGCCCAGCCAGGGCACACTGCAGGCACTCGGCACTCAGTAATGGTCCTGTGCAGTGATCTCACAGCCCTCTGCTTGATCTTAGCCAAAAGGTCAAGAAGGAATCTTTTTTTTTTTTTTCTTGGATGGGGTCTCAATATGTACCTCTGGCTGTCCTAGAACTCACTCTGTAGACCAGACTGGCCTTGAACTCACAGAGATCCTCCTGCCTTGGCCTCCCGAGTGCTGAGATTAAAGGCATGCGCCACCTGACTAGGATATCAAGTTTTTAATTTTAGATGTTGTATGTTTATTTTAATTTACATTAGAAAAAAAAATAACACAAATTTCAGACCCTGGATGTCACAGATGCTTTTGTGAATGAGTGCTAATGAGGCTAAAAAAAGAAGAAAAGGAAGGAAAGATCAGTTAAAAAAAAAAACATGGTGTGAAAAATATACTACGGGTCTGTCACCTGCTTAGAGAGCCATCTGAGTGGTAAATTATAGAAATCACGCTCTCCCTGCCAGGTAGAACATTCTAGGTTCCACAGTTCCCTAGGGGAGGTGCTGTGTTGGCCCGTTCTAGCTTCTTCCAGTACTGTTCTAGTTGGGCATGCACTTTTTTCTGCCCAGCCACAGTTTAACGTCAGGGCGCCAGATTCCTCTTGGGGACAGCAGGAAGAGGAACCAGGGCCTTCTGAGCAGAGCTGAGTTTCAGCACGGTGTTCCTGGCCTGCCCAGCAGGGTTCCGCAGTCAGGAAGTCCTGTCAGGTCCATGGTCTGAAGATGACCCAGTCCCTCCCACATCCTCCAGGGAGCCCAAGGCAGAGAGCTCAGAAAACCTCCATCACCTGTGCCTCCTGTATCTGGGTCCTGGGACCTGCCCAGTTCCAGTGAGGACCACATTGTGAGGCCTCCTGTATCTGGGTCCTGGGACCTGCCCAGTTCCAGTGAGGACCACATTGTGAGGCCTCCTGGGGCTGGGTCCTGGGACCTGCCCAGTTCCAGTGAGGACCACATTGTGAGGCCTCCTGGGGCTTCCAGGCAAGGGCGACAAGCTAAACTGGAATCTACACAGATCTAGATTCAAGTCCATCCTTCTGCAGAGCAGCTGTGTGACTTGGACAAGATTCTGAACTTCTCTGTGCCACTTCTACCTGCTCTTATACAGAAGGGACGCTAATATCCCCTCACCTCCAAGGACATAGGTAGAGTCAGCATCAAGCTGCCCAGCTCAAGCCCAGCACAGGCCATGTTGACCTCAAGTTCTCCTGAGCCTCCCACACCTCATTTACCCCAGCTATTCCTGGGGAGCCCTCAGCTGCACCATCTCAGCTGACATCACCTCCGCTGACGCCTCTCCACCCCCCCCCCCCCCCACCGTCTCTCCCACTCTGTCCTTTTTTCTCTCTCTCTACTGCCCCAGCTTCTCAGGCGCAGTGACAGATAAGATGTGTCTGGCTCTTGATAGGCATGCTGACGTGCTGCCTCTTCCTCCTCTCTCTAGAACATGTAGCCCAGGCTGGCCTCAATTTGATATGTAGCTCAAGATAACCTTGAACACCTGATCCCCCTGCCTATATCTCCCAAGTGCTGAGATTGCAGGTGTGGGATACTACACCCAGTTTCTGCAGCACTGGGGATCAAACCTTGCATTTCATGCATGCTAGGCACACATTCTATAACTTGAGCTATAATCCTAGCCTTTGCTTCTGTATTTATTCATTTTTTTTGAAGATTTATTTATTTATGTATACAGTGTTCTATCTGCATGCATGCCTGCACGCCAGAAGAGGGCACCAGATCTCATTACAGATGGTTGTGAGCCACCATGTGGTTGCTGGGAATTGAACTCAGGACCTCTGGAAGAACAGACAGTGCTCTTAACCTCTGAGCCATCTCTCCAGCCCCTTCATTTTTTTGATATGGACTCTCTATGTAGCTTTGGCTGGTTTTGAACTTTCCATGTTTGGCCAAACAGAGTCACTTTATAAACCAGGCTAGTTTACAGTTGAGGCTAAAAGCTGAGCTGAGCAGACTTATCTGTGAAATGTGGTCCTTGCTGTCTGTAAGGTTTGGGACTCTGTGTTCAGAGAGCCCCCAGGGTTAGGGATCCTTCCTCTTGAGGGGTGATAATTTCTGGGAGTCTCCAAGCCAGGGCACATGGTTATAGTCATGCAGTCCTAGGCAGAAAAACCCTCCAAATGATGGATGTGCCATATGTGCTTGCAGGGGAGGGGATATCTGTGCTGCCCAGGGGATACAGGGAATGACGTTATCTCTCTTTGGCCCTTTGGTCCTACATTGGACCCTACAATTTGGTCCCTAGAGCCAGTGGGCCTTCAGACTGCTGCCTCAAAGATGAAGAGCTTGGCTTCCTGTCACTTGGCAATGGAAAAGAAGGGGATACTGATAAGGTGTCCCTGGGGAACTTGGTGATAGGGCTTGGCTGCCCCTTCCCTTCCTCAGATGATCTCTTGGGGTTACCACTAAGTGGGGGTGGGGATGCTTGCTGGTGGAAGCTGTGACATCTCTTTTGAAGGAGAGAGGAAGCAAACCTCAGCACTCTAAATGATGAGAACATTGTAGTACTGTCAATCATTGAGAGGAAAGTAGGTATTGCATCACCTTGCCCACAGAGAAGCAGGTGCCAAGCCACATACGTATGTGCCCAGAGCAGGTTTGTGCATGCTGTGTGTGTGTGTGTGTGTGTGTGTGTGTGTGTGTGTGTGTGTGCACTCATGTGAATCACAGCTCCTCCTGAGCCTTAGGAGCCCTTCAAGGGGCCTCGGCAGCTGAAGGCTTTGAAACTGGAGCAGCAGCTTTCTGAGGGAACTTCATGTTGCCGAGAAAATAGAAGGGCTTTGTGTGAGCACCCGTCTGGTCACTCTCCGTGCTCCCTGCTTGGCACTCACTGCCTTGCAGAGAGAATCTGAGTTAGCAAGGAAGGAGGCATCTTTGTGATCCTTGGCCAACAATTCCTGGGCAAGAGCCTCTGTTGTCCCAACTCACAAGGGACACAGCCTCATCCTAGGTGACTGTGTTGTATTCCACACGGCCTTGCGGCCCAGAATGCTGCTCAGAAAGAGAGGCTTACTTTGGGGGTGGCAGGCTAGTCAGCTGCTCCCCTTGAAGGGCAAATTGAGCCAGGACTGGCGGCAGAGGCAGGGATGCAGGGGAGAGGGTGGAGGAGAGAGGGTAAGGGAATATGGGGGGGCTGGCTTTCTGTCTTGGTGTTTGCAGGTTTGTATGAGTGCATGTACGGGTGTGTCAACCTCTGGGGTCATCCCTCAGGAGCCATTCACCTTGCTTTTTGAAAAATGGATATATGTTCTCCCATTTTCATGGTGTGTGTGTGTGTGCGTGCATGCGTGCGTGCGTGCGTGCGTGTGTGTGTGTGTGTGTGTGTGTGTGTGTGTGTGTACCTGTGGAGGCCCAAGGTGAAATCACCCTCCATGGCTCTTTCACCTTACTTAATGAGGCAGGACCTCTAAATCAAACTCGGAGCTCACCAATATGGCTAGTTTCCCTAGCCAGCTTGCTCTGGGGATCCCCTGTTCCTGCCTTCCAAATGTAGGATTACAGGAGGTCCCTGAAATCCACCTAGTATTTACGTGGGTGCTGGGGATCCGAACTCTGGCCTGCACACATTCCCACCAATGGCTGCCCCGGTCCCTAAGCGAGTGGCCCTGGGCTGTGTAAGAAAGCTAGCTAAGCAGGAGTGGAGGGAGCCAGAGAGTGGTGGGCTTCTCTGCAGACGAACTGCTACACTTCTTCTGCCGTACTGTAGTGTGCAGCCAGTTCCTTGGTGGAAGGACCT